CATTATTCCCAATTATTTGCTGAATAGCTTTAGTAAATAATTCTCTGGCTGGAGACGGGTGGTGAGTGTCTTGCTGGAATGATTTAATGGCCAAAATTTAAGCTCTGCTGGGGAAGTACAACTGCTCACAGGAGTTGTGATGGTGTTTTTCCCTGTTCATGGGAGGCTCATGGAGGGGGGACCAGGCTCTGGACTGGCAGCAAACTCAGGCAGATGCTCCTCTATGGTTTATTTTCAGGCTTTTTCTGGTAGTTTGAGGCTTAGAAACTTCTTTCAGGACTCGTTTTCAGGGCAGGATGCAGGGCTGGGTGCTGGCAGCACCTTCTCTGCTCAGGAGTGTCCCTGGTAGTGCCACAGTGGCCAAAATGTCACTACAAGGAGGAGCAGAAATGTGTAACAAGGGCAAAGTCACATTTACAGCATCATTCCTGGGATTATTTATTGAGCATCCTCAGGGTTTCTGTCCTTAAGTGCCTTTCCAAAGTCTTTTTGCCAGCTCCAACAGTGTCTATGCATGACAGTTCCAAAGTCCTCAGCTCTGCTGTGCACACACCACTTAGGACCATCCTCACAGGCCTGGTAAGCTTTGATTTGATTTTAACTTTATTTAGGAAAAAAAAAAAACAAACTAAAAAAGTAAACCCAAAGCAAATCCAGAAAGTTTAAGGACATAAATAACACTCGTGCAATTTTTTAATGTTCTGAATACTCTGTATAAGTACCAGCATGACTTTGGTGGCCCAGGCACCTAATTTAACCTGCACATTCCCAAAATGCATTTCCAGCTGGGCTTGGGCTCTGGTCCCCCTTCTCAGCTTGTCCTGGAGTCTCCCCCGGGGCTTAGTTGGGATCTCCTCTTGCAATTAATAATTTATCAACTTCTGTTTAAAAAAAACAAACGTATTCCATTCATGTTTTGGCTTTTCCAGTGCCAGTGGAGCTACAGTCCAGTGTCGGCAGCTGGAGCTGCTGGTTTTGTCCCTCCAGCACTTACCAGGGGCTGCTCAGAGAAAGGAAGGAGTCCTGGGAGTTAACAGGAATGGGGGCAAAAGGGACACAAAGCACAGGAGCCATTTTTGGGCTGAAGATTCCATAAATCAGCTGTTGGGATGTTCCATCCAAAGCCCCTGAGCTTCACCTCCTGATGAGGTTAAACTCTGACCAAGTAAAGCAGTTCTTGAAAGTCTTCGTGGATTCTTTATGGTGTAAAAGCACACAAAAGAAAATCTATCTTAAAAAAATGAAATAAAATAAAATCAAGAAAACAAGTGACCCCCACCCCGGGCTGGTTCCTGCAGGGACAGACCCTCCTCAGGCAGCAGCTGCAGCCTCAATGGATCTGGTGGGGCAAATCCTTCCCCTCCATCCACCCCAAAGCCTTTCACAGGGGTCTGACCTCCCTGATTTGGGAAGACAAAGCTCCAGATAGAAGACAAGGTCCTTACAGAAAACAGCAAAGCCCATTGACTTTCAAATGCAATCTTGGGGTTTTTTCCTCTATAACTCTGCTGTGTTGCATCTTGTTTACTTTCTCTCAGCACCCATTAAGTTAATATTACCATAAAGGAAATTAATTCCACCCCCCCCCACACACATGGAAACACCTCCCATCAGGGCAACTTAACATCACTCACGTGGGGATGGAAAGTAATTATCCCACCATAATACCTCTGGTGCCACTCCATCAGGGACTGATAGGTAAAGTCCTTCCATCCATTAAAGATCTTGTAACCTCTCATTACATATGTAGTTACATATGAAGTCCTATTCTCAGAAAAGGTTAATTAAAACCTGTGATTCCTGTATGAGCTGAACTGGGGGGGGGGGAGGTCAGGTAGGAATTTCTCCCTTGCACAGCCCCTCTCTCTTTACTTAAACATGAATTAACTTCCCAGAAGGACTCAGAAGGCCAACCCGACCTCTCCTATGGAAAGGAGGCATTTATCAACCTCAATCTGTCTGCCTGTACAGCAGAGACTGAAAATACCTGTGGAAAACCCTGTTCAAGACCTGGAGCCCACCCTGGTGACCTGCAGGGACATGTCATGCACTCCTATGGGTAATAATTCCTAAAATTGCCTGGGCAATTTAGGGGGAGAGGATCTTCTCTCCCTCAAGGAATGTAAAGTAAGAATACCCCAATTTGGCCATCGCTGCTCACTGCAGGGGAGTTGGACGAGATGACCTTTAAGAAGTCCCTTCCAACTCAAACTATTCCATGGCTCTGTGTTCCCAGACCGAGTTTTTAAAAGCAGATGGAGTGGTTGTCCCAGCACCCACCATTCCCACCCCCAGGAAGAGACACACTGGGCAGTGAGAGCTGGGGGAAGGGAATTTGTCTGAGCACCTTCAAGGGGTTCACCTCTTTGCTGAAATTAGGCAATTAGCAGAGAGGGCTAATGAACCTCAGAGTGTTTTAACACCTCCTCCCTCAAATAGCACTGCTGTGGGGAAGGTGGACTCCTAAACCACCCAGAACTAATACATGGAAGCTGTTCCAGTGGGAAGTTCCCTATTTCCCACCTATTTACTTAAGCAGGGGGAGGTTATAACAAACACGAGGCTCCTCAGAAATGTCTCCACAGGCCCCCGTGTGTGCATTTAATGGAAAATAGAGGCGTTGGAGGAGACCACCAAGCTCCAAGCCCGGATTTTGCCACTTCCCTGCGTGCTGGTGGTGAGGAATGTGCAGGGCCCGTGATAAAGGCGGCGGTACCGGAGAACCATCAGCGCTACCTAAAAGCAAATGGAACTGGCATAAATAATTGTGCTGTAGAAAGGCTTTCTGTTGCACCTTGCCTATCACTGACAATTTACATATCTTAGGAAAACCTTTGTCAGCTTCTGTCATTTCTGCACTATTATGTGCCTTTCTGGATAATTACCAGTTAATGTGAAAAAGCAGATGGAAAAAACCTTGAAATTTCTGATAGAGAATCCTCAAACCTCTCCCCTTATCTGTGCACAGCAGCTTCCTGATTTCAAAAGAAGTTTGAAAACCTTTGTTAAAAATGTCCCTGATTCCCAGTTTGAATGAACCAAATGACATTCAGCTAAAATTATTCAGCTTTTTCCACAATTAAATTCCATTATCGTGAACTGCCAAAGTAAAATGGAAGGTCTCTTAACTAATGTGTCGGTTGTTTGCTTGTATTTTCGTGGTGTGTATTGTATAAAGCTGTGTGAAGTAGAAGGAGGATAAACAATAACTGTAATTTTGCATCAATGAGTGGGGCATTTTTAGACCCTTCATTATGGGAACACACTGGGGTTGGTGGGTTTTCTCTCTTCTTTTTTTCCCCCTCTTTTTTTTTTGTGTGTGTGTGTGTGTTATTTTATTTATTCCTTTTCCCTCAAAAGCTCACTGAGACTGATTGGATATTTCACCAAACTTGAGGGGCAGTGTCAATTCGGTTTTTAGCACCAGGAGTGATTTCTTTACACATACCATGAGAGCTCAGGACTGAGCACACCCACTTCTCCTCTCCCTCTAATGAGGAGGCAGCACAGCAGCACATAGGGGGAATAATTCCATTTAAAAATACCATTCCCACAAGCAGGGGAATTGTCCTCATGTTGTCTCAGTTGGTTTTTCCCTTGTTCTTCTGGAAGACTTAAAATTAAGCTGCCCATGAGAAAGGCAGCAGTTAATCACAGAATCCTGAAGTGGTTTGGGTTGGAAGGGACCTTAAATATCATCTCATTCCACCTCCTGCCATGAGCAGGGACACCTTCCACTAGACCAGGTTGCTCCCAGCCTGGTTTGCTTGTGTGCAGGATGGAATAAAGCAAAAATAACCTCTAAAGCGGCTGAACCTGCCATGCTGCCCATCTTTGAAGCCCATAGGGAAGTTATTTCTGTGAGCTTCCAGTCAAAAAAAAAGGAGGGAACTTTCTGACCACTGATGACAGGGATTTATGCTGGAATTTTCTGTGCAAAATGCTTTTAACATGTTGGTGGGCTCAGGTTGAATTTTACCCTGCGAAGCCAAGCCTCACCCAAGGTCTGTAGGTAACATCCCCCTGCAGGTGCACTTTGCAGTCAGAGAATTATCCTTTCATTTGGCCAAGACCCTTTAAATCATCAGTTCTACTCAACAGGATTTTTCTGAGCACTGAAGGCTTCTGGCATTCACAACCCCTGTGGGCAAATGCTGAGCCATCCCTGCCCTGGAGCTCAAAACCAGCTGGAGGACGAGGACAAGGCTTGGGAATGGACAGAGGAGAGCCAGGAGAAAACCTGGCACTGCAATGGCACTGGGCAGGGGGACAGAAGTGGGACAGTGAAGAGCCATAGGGACACTCGTGTTTCTGCTGGGACACCTGGCCTCCCACACACCAGGAACACCCTGGAGCACAGGCAGGTCTGCAGTCACACCAATCCCACTGCAGAGGAGTCACTCCTTTGACATCAGGTAAAAAAACCTCACCTAAGTAATCCAATGCCAAGCCCATTTCTCTTCAGTTGCTTAAACACGCCCTGAAGTCCATTTAAAAAAATGAAACGAAACAAAAAGCTGGCTCCATGTTGGGTGATCTAGACAAAAACTGTCCTCAGAACAACGTGATACCAGTGGATACCTCGTGGCTACTCCCTGGAGTCAGAGACTGGCTCAGTGGGAGCTGTGAGTGTGCCACAGCAGAGAAAAAGAGAACTCCTTTATACAGAGAATGAAAGCAAAGATGTGTTGCTGAGGATCAGTATAAAGGGAGCTAAAGCACCTCAGTATCATGGTGTTGTATCAGAAAGCTCCACAGACAAAGGCCACACAGCTCTGTGGTTGCCCTGCTGGTCTGTGTTGATGGTGCCTCTCCTCCTGCCTGGCATTTACCATCTCCAGCCCATGGAATGACATTTCAGATCCCGATTAAAATCATTGTCTTTCATGGCAGAGAAAGTTTGTTCTTCAAAGTAAAGAAGATAAAAAAAAAAATGCTGTTGCAAACAGTGCTGAAAACCAGATGAATAAAAACAACCAAAAAAGGTTTTAATTCCATTATTTTCAATTAGCTCTTTAATTTGATTTAAGTCACTTGCACTTGTTGCTTGTTTTACATCTCTTATTGTCCAGCATTTTATTTCACACATCTAACAGTATTAAATCAAACTGTTTTCTAGTCTTTGCCTTCTTTTGAAGCCTCTTGAAAGTCTAAAGCAGACTTAAAAAAACAGATATTAAAAACGAACTTTCATCTCTCTGCAGGTTATTTGTAATCAGACCTTTCTCATCAAGGGCTCTTTTCATATGTGTTTGGGATCTGGGAATTATTAAAACTGCCAATCCATCTTGTTAAAAACACTGCCCAGGCTTCAGTGTTTTTAAAACTTCAGTTCATGTTTGAATTCATCAGCTGGCATTGGAGAGTTGGTGCTCCTGCTTGTAGATACTTACATGTAGTAACGATTCAGTAAATCATCACAGGGTCATACTGGAGACTCCTGTTTATTCACACTTGGTTCTGAGTGGTTGGTGGCTCACACTGAGGACTGGGATATAAAATAATTTATTATGACAGGGACATTATTCCTTCCCCATTGCCTTCAATATCATCAGATTTTACCAAAACGATCCCAGAAGTATTGAAATACTCCAAGCTTTCCCCACGTTGACACATCAGTACTGGAAGGCAGAGTGAGGAAAAACTGGTGACGAGCTGTCCCTGGGCAAGTGCAGTGGGTGGAAAATGTTAATTCGCCTTCCTTAGAAAATCACCATTGGGACTCACATCTTGCAAATAAGAAGGTTTTCAGTGGGGTCTTAAAATTGAAAAGATGCAGCTTTGAGTGTGATTATCTGCCAAGAGGTGGGAGCACATCGTGGACCCCGCTGTGCTGCCCTGCTGGGATCTGGCCGGGAAGCCGGGAAGGTCTGGAGAAGGTCGGGCACGAAGTCTCACTTTGATGGAAACATCCAAAATTTCCACTTTGCCCCCGAGGTTCAGCTCACCTGGAGCAGGCAGAGGAGGTGCTTTTTTCCCCCTGTGTGTCCCTCAGGAGGAGGTTCCCACTCAGGGTGGGTGGACATCCCGTGGCAGCTCCTGAACAAAGGAGAAGCCTTTCAAAGCAGAGCCATCTTTATCTCAAAGGCAGCATTCCCTCTTTGATCTCCCGATGAATCAGGCTGGCTTTGTGCTCCTCAATGCCTCCTTAAATAGCACCTCTCTCCAAATAGGAAGAGCCTGAATAGATGCAAGACTTGGGTGTTTAAAGAAACCCTTTTTTCTTCCTAAAGCAAAACTGGGTGGTGGGGAAGAAACCCTCACGTGCCACCTCCAAACCAACCCCTGTAATTCTCCCAGACCACGCAATTAAAATTTTCCAGGTGTTTTTTCCGTGATGGGAGGAACTGTTTACATCCATCAGAGGACTGGGAGACTCCAGTGATCTCTCAGTGGGTTCACCAAAGCGAATTCCACCACAAGCAACATGCCAACATTACCTTCTTCCAAGACATCAGGGTCCTGATTAAAACTGTGGCCTGTTGTTTGATGAACCAGGAATCCACACAGCCTGTGGTTTTCCTTCCTTCCTTCCTTCTCTTTCCCTGTGTTTATATGTCATATTCAGTAAAGTCTCTTTTATTGAACATCTGTTTGGTACAGAGAAAGCTTATCCAAACTCGGCAGGAAAGCACCTTTCCTCCAAAATAAATTAAAACAATGTATGTGCCTCCGGCCAATAGATCATTGGATGGGAGTCATGAATGTACATTTGTGGATATTTGATGGGAAGTTCATCATTTAAATGATGAAAATACAGTACTTCAACATATGGATCATTCCGAGCTCCTCTCTTTCCTTTCCAGTTGAAGAATCATTGTGCATTTAGAGGAATTAGACAAAATTAAGAATTTAAACTGGGCTGGTAGCAAAAGCTATTATCAAAGAGTGGAAATGCAAAAGCAAGATGCAGGGATGGAATCTGACTTTGAGGTATAGGTGGATTAAACTGGTTTAGTTTTAGGTGGTGGAAACAATGAGCAAAACATGTGATAAATGAGCAAAGAGGGAATTAAAAAGTGAATTGAAAAACTGAAATAGAAATTAAAGCACACAGAACCCCTCTGCAACGATGCTAGTGACCAAATAAAGTTTGGAACTTAACATTTTGTGTATTTCCTTCTGTTTTATTCTGATTATCAAGGTGGGTTCAAGTGGCCTCCCTGGTGCTCTGCAGTGGACTTTTGCCATGGCTCTAGAATGATTTTTTTCCCCCTTTTCATACAATATCTATGATAATTTCCATAATGAGAGATGTTTTCTGCTCTGCAGAGTTGTGCTGGCAGGGGAGTCCTCCCCCTGCTCTCAAAGCATATCCTAATTCCTGAGGCAATCGAGCAGCAGCAAACTCTGAGCACAATTATCAGGAAAGAAAGACAAGTATGTTGAACTCCAAAAAGTGCCTTGAAGTAGCAAGGGTTTCAAGATCATGCTGCTGTTTGATTGCCAGTTATTAAGACACCTTTTGGTGCCTGACAGTGTGAGAAAGATCTGCCACTCCACATCTGACCAGTTCATACCCCTGTCATCATCGTGGTGTTGACACACCAAACATACACTGCAATATGAGTTTTAAAGCAGACTAAACTAAAATTGCCCCAAAACTAAAACTTACTTTCTGGCCTGAATTTTCTTCTGCCCAGACATCAAATCCAGACTGACTGAAACTATTCAATAAAACACGTTTTCTTCTCAGAATCGGTTCCCCAAAATTTCTCACAACTCCCCCCTCCCCCCGTAACCTAAGAGATTCCTGAACTACATTTTGCAGCTGTTTTTAAAATAGAAATTATTGTCTTGTGTTTCTTTAGTGAACTTTGGCCGTTAAAGAAGCAAGATCATGTCTAGTAAGGATAAATATATGCTTGTATATGTAAGTATAAGTTCAAATGCTGCCATGAAAAGAGAGGTAAGGTTTCAATGGGTTGATAAACCCACAGGAATGGAGCTGCTAATGACAAAAACTAGTATCAGAAATAGAAGTGGAAAGGAGATGCTGTATTGCATTTCTCTCCTTCATGTGCTCTAATTTCTAAAGGACAATATGCCAAGTAAGATTTTTGCTCTTTTTACACGAGTACTTCAGCCCAGTTCCCCTCTCCATGGGTTTCCCTCCCAGCCCACCCAAGGGTGCCCATAGGTGTGGGAAGATGAACTGGGGGTGCCCAGCACCTCCATCCTGCTCCCAGCTGGAGGTCTGAATGATTCCTATTCTGTTTTTGCAGTAAAACAAGAGCTTCTACTGCCAAAGTAGTGCAATCTCAGGCCATGTTTCATTTGTGTTTGTCCCTGGGACTGTGGAAAGCTGCCTCTGGGGTGGTTTTTCCATAGGATTTGTTGTCAGAGGCTTACAGAGATACTACCAGTCTTTGAAAGAAGACCTTGCCTGATAGTCCTCTGGGCTGTGATCACCTGCCAGAGAGCAATCTCACCTCTGAGGGGCAGACACTTACCAACCTATTATGTCCTAATTAAGTTTGGCCATGTTTACGCTGCTTGATGATGATGCATAAAGATTAATTTACCTTTCCAGCCTGTTGCCAGAATGTACTGCCATAGTACCCTGTTCAAAACAGAAACAGCAATAAAGTCTCCAATTAATTTATATCCTCTTAATTCTATCAGAATCCATCATTTTATGTGCCTTTAATTTATTGGTGTATCATCTATCGAGGTGGCAGCAGTTCTTACAAGTCATTCTATAAATGGTTTTAAACACTGTGATAGAATCTTCTGTGGAGAAACAAGCCACGAGAACACCTTATTTAGTTTGCCAAATTAAGGAGGCCAAAGGAAGCCTTTTAATTGCTTCTGACTAAAAAAAAAAATCCTGCAGAGCCACAGCTAAAAACGTTCCTCTGACTGTCATTGGAGTTTAGAATTAAACAAGGCTGAGCTCTTCAGTGTGACCCTGATGAAATTAAGTGCAATCAGGATGAAGACAGAAACACCATTATACAGGTTGAGCTTTACACTTTGATTTTCTCGAAATATTGATTAGAGATCTGAATATGAATTAATGATCTTGGCTCTGTTTCAGCAGAAGATTGAAACTCACAACAAGCTTTTGAGCACGTTCGTTTTCTCCTCGGTTTTAGAGGGTTTGGAGTTTGCAGGTTGTGCTCAGGTCGTGGCCAAAAAGGCAATGGAAGAAGCACCATTCCAGCTGATTCCTTCAAAAAGTTCACCTTGATGCAAAGACACTGCTGGGAACATGTTATTTGTGGGGGAGTTCTGTGAATAATTACAGAAACTGCTCCTGACAGAGGCTGTCCCTTCCTCCCATGGGGTCTTGAGCTCTTCTTGGTTTGGTCTGGGACATCTCATCAAGGTCTAGCAGGGCTTAGTTTGGGAGCTCTGGGAGCCAGGGAAGGATGAAGGCTGAGGACCTTTTTTACCACCCCAGGAGCAGGATTTGTCTAAAATTGTCTGAGGCACCTCCAAAATTCCTTGGGATAAAGGGGCACTGCCAATTCCACTACCCCATCCCATGTACCTAAGTGACAGTGATGGACATACCCAGGAGCCATGGTCACCACAGCTTCAGAGGGTTTAAAACAAAAAAAATCCTTAGAAAAAGGAGCATCATTAGCTCATAAATTTTGTTTCTCAGTGCTCATTCCCTTCCCCCGTGACAGCACCTGTGCTTCCTCCTCCTGTGACTTCCTACACGTCACTCAAGGCTGGCTTTACTTATTTTTAGTGAGTTGCTCCCTACAACTGCCCCCTTTCTTGCCCAGTGATGCCAGCAGGACATTTCAGAGCAGCTCAGGTCACTTAACAGGAAAACACCCAAACAAGCAGCCCGTGTTTCCACACACATTATCCCTGGTGCTTTATGGGGTTGCAGCAGCAGCACATGGACAATAAACCTTCTGACCAGATGGCACAGGTTTTATGAGCTGGTGCCACTGAGCTCCTGGTGGGCTCAGGTGCACCTTCCCAGGACCAGTGGCTCTGGAGAGCCTCAGGCATTATTTATCCCACCCAGTCCATCATCATCCCATCATTTATCCAACACTGCAAGCTGGAAACCATAAAAGACTCGTCCTTTTACCCAATCCTTGCTCTTTTTTTCCCCAATAAGGCAAAGTCTCGGCTGGCCACGGAGTGTGAGAAGCCATCCAGAGCTTTGGGGCCAGAGGATGGAAACCTGCCTGAATCCACAGCTCCCAGAGCATCGCTGGATAAATATTGGTGGGATCCTCCCAGAGCTTCTCTGCTCCTACGAGGGGGTGGGCATGTGATGGCCCCTCCCTGCACAGGGATTATAACTGGGACCTGTCATTAAATAATGAACAGGCCAATGGAGGGAATGTAAGATACCATCCATGGTATGCACAGTGGGTAATAAATCCAAGGGGAAACAGTAAATCTCCAAGGAGTTACAGAAATCCAGATAGATACCCTGGTGGAGGTGCATTTATTGTGGAGCACTACAAGGTTTTCCTCTTATCTCTAATTTTATAGATCTGTGCAGCTGCAGCAGTCCTTGGATAGGGCACATATTTGAAAATACTATAAATTTCACCTCCTGTTTATTTCAGATTCATTGGCACTCTCTGTCTTTACTATCTCCTGGTATTTTATGCGTCAGTAGTTGGAGAAAAAATGCTTTGTTTGCACTAGATGTAATATGAAAACTCTCTCTGACATTTAAACTTTAGTATCAGTTTGCCTACAGTGTTAATATCACTGAAACTGCTTATATGGATTAAATTGCCTCCAGTATATAATGCCAAAATATGAACACAGCACATTTACTGATTCAAGCCCTTGAAAGAATTATTACCATTAAAATATTTAAGGTCACCTTTACAAATGCAATAAATCAGGAGGATGTCAAACAGAGAGAGTTTAAAGCTCTCAGTCTGGAGTAGCCCACTGGGAAAATGATGGTTGATTTATTGTGATGGGGGGGAAAGGGGTTTGGGGACAACCTTGGGGCTCACAGCCTTTTTGGGGACAACCTTGGGACTCACACCCCTCTGGGTGTGGAGGACCAGGGGGACACCACTGCCCTACAGGGTGGTTCTCACCCAGACTCTCACGTTGTTGCACAAATTCTCAGCCCAGTCCCAGCAGCTCTGAAGGTCTCACAGGAGGAAAGAGCAGCAAAAGCTCATTTTTGTCATTAAAGGCAGAGGCAGCAGCTCGTGTGCCCTCGGGAGGCAGAACTGATGAGTAAGAAGATGCCATTTCCATGCAGTCACTTTTTTTTGCACAGAACAGCCTATTCATGCTACGGGTCCAGTTCTGCAAAAACCCTTATTGAGGTCAACATAATTTACTGATAATTGAAGTCAGAGGGAAGTTTTGCTTCAGTGAGAACCAGCAAATCAAGCCTATCAGACAATTCTTAAAAAAAAAAAAAAGTCATCCTTCATTATGCTTTCATCTTAAATATTAGGATTCAGCGAATTTCCCCAGAACAACCACTGTGTAAAACTTTAATCTTTGGAGAATGGATTGGGACTGTAATTGCAAAGCCCAACATCCTCCTCCTGCACCACATTCCCTCTCTGAAAGTCAGCATTTACTAGCACGTTTGAAATGGGGGATAAATTTGCATGTGCTTATTGCTCACCCTTTTATTTGTTTCCAGGTGACTGTTTCTAATATTTAGCACAACACCCTTATCTGCAGTAGCCCATCCTAATTTACAGCATGAGGAGATGGACTAATGCTCATCATCATTGCCTGAGGCAAAGTAGTGAGCTTAAAAATACACCTTTCTTTTTAAATTCCACACAAACAATTAAATGTAATAATTGATCAATGCCTCCTCTATAAAAAACTTGCCAACATGAGTGAATGGGAGGTGTGTCAGAGCTTTCTAAACCAGTGGTCAGTGCTTATTTAACCAGAGATGTTATTACAGGAGGACTTATTATAGCCACAGGAATTCAGAGGAATTTTTGAGAGGCCTTGTAACTTAAATTAAATGGGTTCCCTCCATTATTGCCAGTAAAATGATCTTAAAATTCATATTTTTGGGGTGAGGTGGGAGAATGAGCAACCCACCTTTACTGCATTGGGAATTTCTCTCCAACTTTAGAGACTGTTCCCTGTCTGATGGAGGCAACAGGTCCAAATCCCAGCACCAGGTCACAGATCTGAGGGGAAAAAGCACAGGAAGACAGAGAAAATCAAGCTCAAATGGGATGGTTTTTCCAAAGGGTCTTTCAGAGGAAGATGAGTTTTTGGGCTGTCTATTAGGAGACACCTGAGTTACTAGCTATTAAAATGCTCTTCAGTGAAGGTGATCTGGCTTTTCCTCCCAGACTTGGGGGCTTTGTTAAAGTACAGGATTTGTTTTCTGCCTGCTCAAAGAGACTGATTTGGGGAGCACTGGGCACAGCCCATTCCCACGACCAGACATTCAGGCTGCACCCAGGGGAATCCAGCAACAACACTTGTGTCCTGCCTTCCATTTTTCTCATAGAAGGAGATGGAATTTCCCAAAAAATACTGTTAACCCTGAAGAAACTCTTACCACAGGCAGAGAAGGAGCAGCTCCTGAGCCTTAGCAGAGGCTTTGCAGCAGGAAGGGAAGATGGGCCTGCCCATCCCTGGCCTTTGGACTGCTCAATCCTCAGATTTAACAGTTGACTAACACCTCTGATAATTGAGCATGTTAATATTTTGCAAGAGAGACTGACAAGCAGATTGTTGTCAAACCCAGGAGCCGTCAGGCTGCGGATATTGGAGTTGGCAGAGCCCAGTAATTTACGGCTTTCTCCTTCAGCTTCTCATCATTTACTTCCCAGCCACCGAAGGGAAACCTGCAGCCAAAGGAAAATTGATGGACTCATCATGCAGACATGACACTCCTGAAGCCTCCAATTGCTATTTTATACACATGGTGTGAAGAGGAATGATCAATGGGGACCTGGAAACTCCTCGGTTACAGGAGCCCTGGAGAAGCTGCACCAAACCTGTCTGTTCCCCTGCTTTCCTGGGACTTCCTGGTGTACTCCAAACAGTTTCCATTTAACATCTTCTCTCATTTTTACTAATGCAGCTACCGAATATAAGCTATTAGTTAATACTGCCACAGGGTCTTAGTCCCAAGTGGGTGATATTTTGGTAAAAACACGCACAAAGTCACTGTGGTTCAGCCCAACTTTTGTTGACTGTATGGTCTCACCAAAAGTAAAAAACCAGATGATTATTTTCAGGCTCAGGCTTAAGTTTCTGACTAAAGTCGTGCCTTGACAAACTGTTTGGGAGTTTCTCATTGTACATCATGACCCCCGAAGGGTCTCCATCAACCATATATATATATGTGGAAATTGTTTCCTTTCAAGTACCATAATACACACCTGCAAACATGGGAATACAATGTTTAAAAGTTCCTCTTTTCCTTCTTTAGAAAATATAAAAACAAGAGTTGTTTGTATAAATAATAAAAAAACCCCAAACAAAACAAATCAACACTGGCCTCCAGATATAAAATGTGAATCCTGGGACATAACAACAGTTACTAAAGGCAGGACAGGGCAGGGGGTGATATTTCCCAACTGAATAAAGTCAATTTTTAAAGGCATTATGTGCACAGTGTTTTTAGAGTCTGTGTGCCCAAATTCAACATTATTGGCTGCAGATTTATCTGTGTTCTGGGTAGAAACCCAAGTAAAACTTGGTGCTGTCACTGGGAAGGAACTGAAGGTGGTGAATTGCAGGCAAGCTCTCTCCAAATCCTCCATCAGCTGCTTGGAGAGAGGCTCAGGCAGCACTGCCACAGGGGAGGGTGGGGAACTTGCTGCCATTCCAGAAACACATCCAGAACCTAAAGAAAAATACAACTGAACAAATTTTCCTAAGAAAGGAAGTCCAGAGAGAGGTGAGAAAATCACTCATTTGCTTCAGCAGTGAAATAAAGAGAAGGGAATAAAGGCTTTGCTCACCAGCCCTCAGCTTGGCAAGGGGTTTGTACACACAAAACTGGGGGTGCATGTAAATAAACCTGTGGATTTAACAGGGCTACGTGCACATTCAATAACCTCAGGCTCAGGTAGCTTGCTGAACCGAGCTTTAATGTGTATTTAGGCTTTTTCCTGTGTATTCAGGTTTTTTGTGCTGCTTGGGGCTTGTGTCGAGGTATTTGTATTTGTGCTCATCACACACAACTAAATAAACTTGTGCTCAAACTTGTTGAAATGGGATGTTTTACAAGTTTGGATATTTTAACTCTGCTGTTCACTGGTTGGCTCTGTGGTAAAATTATCATTCATTTCTTTTGGCTTGTCAGCATTAGTGAAGATGACGTGGGATAGAAAGCACAGCTCAGCACGCAGAGGAGGAGGATTCTTACTGTCCAAACGTGTAAGTCAGCAGAAAAAATACAGCAAAAAAGCATTTATCTGAAAAGGCAGAATCACTCCCAGTCTGACCTGACAACCTTGTACCCCACTGATATTATAAAAACAGAAGGAGGAGTTTGGAAAAACATAAATAAACTTGGAAATAACAGATCCTCAACCCCTATTTCACCGAGTGATTTTCATTTTACTGTGTTGGTCCACCCCAACAACCAAATTGAATCTGGCTGACTCAAACTGCACATTTAAAACATATTTTTAACAATCATAGTATCAAAGACAATGCTGAGTTGAAAAGGACACACAAGTCCATCTGCTGTCTCTGCACAGGACAAACCCCAAAAATCACGCCACGTTAATAAACACTACCCCCTATTTTTGCACTATTTCAAACAGAATAAAAGACACTTTTTTTCTTTTTTCAAATTTCCAGAGAGCAACTGAGGTGAACCTGCTTCAAACCCATGGTAAGCTCAAATCAAATACCACAGTTCTAAGAAATCCATTAACTGTTCACATCATCCTTCCTCGCTTCACCCTATAATGCACATTGTTGTCAATTTTTGTCTTATTTACCCCCTGCTAATAGCTGGGCTCAGTGCCAAGAAACTTAAGACAATTGTGGAGAGATGCAGATCTAACATTTTTCAAGTTGACAGCCAATGGTTCTGAGCATTTAATTCCCGAGACGGAAGAATCTCCAAATCCTGCTTTTGTAATTCACCCAGGAAAACACATCAGAGCCAAGCCCTGTCTGTGCAGCCTGAGCAAAAATGTTATTGTTTGATCCAAGTTGTATCTTTCTTGGCAGATTTGTAGGGATTGATCCTGGCTGAGAGTGGGATTTTAATAGGAAGCTTAGCACTCAACAGCTCTTGATAAATTAAACATCCCCGTTGTAACCATCGTTCTGTCCCCGGCAGTGCAGCTCAGGTAAAGGTTCATTTAATTCAGCCTTGTTAAAGTTTAAGCAGCTCTGCCAAATTCCACCAGCCTTGGCATGTGTGACGTGACTAATGACTCCACTCAACCTGGAGTCAAAAGCTTCCGTTGGAAAATGCCCCATCTTTATGGATTTGCCCCCGAGCAGAGGGGGAAACAAATAAATACCATTGTTCCAAATGCTCAGGTGGGAAATTTAAGCAGCTGAACACAACTCTGGAAGTTGTTTAGGCGTGGATTTGATAAGGGGTTTATGCTTAAAGCAGAAAACAGGAAGGGTCAAGGATCTTCCTCCTCCCCTTGAGGAGAAAACACCAATGAAGAGTCCCAAAATATTTGCTGGGACACTCTGTGCCCTGGAGCAAAGCAGGTCCCTCAGGGCTGACCTTCAGCCACCGGGGATCAGGTGGGTTTGCCCAAACCTCACACCATCCTTCTGCCCATCTTGCTTCTCTCCTGGTCTTTCCAGTCCTAGTGTAGCTCTTGAGCCACCTATGCTGGCTCAATATGATTTAAACAGAATTATTCATCTTTCTTCCCAAGCCTGATTATGAGAGTACTTAAATATTGTGGGAAACACCACCACATTATCTGCCTTTTCAGCCTTTAGCTTGTATTTATGTAATACTGACTTTATATTCACTGGTAAATCTCCTTGTGTTTGTGCCTCCAGGCTCTGCTGAAGTCTCAGATTTTTTTTTTTCCCCCTCTATGATACGACTAAAACATGGCTTTTTCTGTTCATCCATCAGCAAACCAGTAGCATTTTGTGTCTTCACAGGACCTCCAGAAGCCCCCCAGGCCAGTCTGCTGCTGCAGCAGGTCCAGCCAGAGCAGGTTCCTGAGTAACTGCTCAAACTCTGAATTTCTCTCCCTCACCCAATTCAATGTTGGGAAGCCAATATTTCGAAAAAACCCTGTTTTTTACGTTCATCCAAACAACTCCACATGGGTGGGAAGAACAACTGGATTATTCTTCAAATCCATGTGCAAAATTGTCCTTCCTTGGCTCAGCTAAAGAATGAACGTCACAGGCCAGATTTATGACATGCAGGCAATTAATATTTTCCTCACTATTACCAATTACATCCCTGTTTTTTACCCCAGACTGAAGTTTGCTTTCCTACAGCACTAACACAGATCCACCCCAGGCCACTGCTAAAGCACCCAGGGGTGGCCCTGCTGAAAAATAATGATTCACCCCATTTTGCAAGCGAGGCATTAACTGCTGACACAGGTTTTCATCCAAATCCTGAGCTTCTGGGACACTTCACATCAGCAGTTGGAGACTCTGCTTGGCATTTTCCTTATTTCAGTATCATGAGCTGGATTAACTTTGTGTGCTTTCCTCCTTGTACAATTCAGTATCTAGAGAGATTGTCAGGGTTTTTTTCTGTGTTTATGCAGGTCCATGTTTGTCTGGAACATCTGTGCAGGGTTGTTATCGTGTTGGCAAACACAGAGGTTTAGTGTCTCCTGGAGGAGCCTCAAACTCAAGCTTCAATTCCTATCCTACGGTAAAAAAGAAAATAGTTTGAAAAATTTACCTAAATTGGGGAAAGGTTTTCTAATGAAATATTCAGAAGCCTACAGAATGCTTTGTTTACTGGAAACAAATGTTTTGCTTTGCTTTATAATGAAATCAAAGCTTTGGTTTGGGGGAAAAAAAAGCAGGATAAATCCTTTCTAGAGCAGAATATGCCTGATGGTGTTTATCTGTGAGGAACTTGCCCTTTGCAGGAGACCCTGTCTTCGCCAGCTCCTGACTCCTGCTGACTGCACAGCTTGGAAAAGAGTGTAAAAAAATTAATATATCACTGAAAAGCTGCCAGCTGGATGCTCAGCCCACCTCTGGGAATCCCTTCCTTTGATGAAAAATAAATATTTACAGTTAAATAAAACCTTAAATGATTTCTGAATGATTCTTTTGAACAACAGTGCTACTGTACAGTGTGAAAGGACTCAAGAAACCCTCTCTGGTTCATTTTTTAACTTCAAAGTTTGATGGATGTGTTCTAAGTCCAAGATAAAGTACATTTAGGCCAAAAGGTTTGAAAGGTGATGTCTGATCTTAGCACAGTTGTCCATCATCAGTTCATTAAAATACTTGGCAAGGTGTTCAGTGTCTGTTGGTTCAGTATCTATTGGTCTGTTCCTTTCCAGAGAACTTTTATGGGGCTGATCCAGTTCCTACTAAAATCATAAGGGAATTTGGTGCTGCTTTACTGCAAATTTTGAGAGAGAAAGGGCTGAAAGTTCCACTCGGTGCAAATCATTCTGTTAAATCAGCATTTGGAGTCTGTTCCTGGGTATTTGGGGTTTATCAAATAAACCCTTAATCTCCTTG